AGAATTCCCCAGCCAGCATGGGTGGCTGGGGAATTCTGGGAGTTGAAGTCCACTCATCTTAAAGTGGCCAAGTTTGGACAACACTGTTTTAGGGCAAACAGTTTATTCTGAATGGATCTACAACTTGGGCAGAAATCTGAGAATGTATAGGATATTGGGAGAAAAGCAATGGTGTTCTTGACTTGTTTGTTTGTCTGTTTTAAATTCAATTTCTATTCAATAAAAGCTCAATTTTACAGACTCCTATTCAGCAGGCTTCAGATGCAATGGACAAAATGTTAGTGGAAATTACACCCCCAAATAACACACCCAGTCTGTTGTTTACAAAGCAGTTCAGACAATTGATACCATTTGAGTCATTTGTGTCAGTCAGGTAAACAATGACAAATACAAAATTATGCAAATTGTGTAAATTGAGGCAAACAGCATAAATTATGTCAGTGTGGATTTAATGGACATTTGCTTTAATAGACATCCTTTATCCTCAAATGACCCCTTAAATGGAGGTTGGACTATACTGCTAACTACCATAGTCGCAGTTGCAGAAGAGATCCTTCTTACAAGTAGAATAGATGGTGTTATTAAATATTAACTTCTTAGATAAGAAACTTCTTTTTGACTGGTCTGTGGGACTTTGACAACTTTAGTATGATAAAATCTATAATTATACATTTAAACAAAACCCATAGGTCAATTAATCGGGCTTTGTTGTTGCCATCATCTGACTGCCATTTGGCTTTGATCTGGCTTGGCTTATTTGGTTTCTGTATTATATTCTACCTCTTCCTCCAGAGAAAACTCAAGAGAGCTCACAAATATAGATATGTAATATCATTTTATATACTATCACTTTTCAATTGACAATTCCTAAACTGTAATTCATAAAATAAAAGCACATATTTCCCCCACTGCTGCCATTTCCAAATATCTCTCTTATACCAAAATATCATGGGAAAGTTATTACTTTTTTCTTGCCAGGGAAAGGACCTGTATCAGCACTTCCTCACCTGTTGTGACCCTGAACAAATAAACACAATCCCAGCTCCAAGCTGTGCAGTATTTTCAGGTCTCAGAGCACATTCTTAACTCATAGCCAGTGGCCAGTTGATGAAAACACTATAACTGGCATAGAAATGTAACATCTTGAACGTAAAAATGTTTTTGATATGAGTTTTTCCAAGGCGTGGTCCAAAGATACTTCAGGGGTTAATCCAAGATGCTTATATATTATTGGTAAATAAGAATTACATCAGAGTATGCATACCATATTTTGATAAATTAGCATGTCTAACTTCATGGAAACCAGCCCATATTTGTGCCCATACACAAATTTGGAGACTTGGTAAATTCTTACTTGGCAGAATATTATTAAATTGCTGGCTTTCGAGCAGTTATGTGCATCAGACATAAGCTACTATTTAATAAGCATTACATTGTAAATAAAGCATTACATTGAAGAATTTGTTGGCCATGTTGGCTGGGAGTGTTAGGGTTTATAGTTTACTAATTATGGAGAACCATCTCTCCTTCTCCCCCCCACCACAAAAAAGAGATAATGTGGTAAAATAAAAACTATTTGGAACCAGGGTTCATTTACCTCATTTATCCTTCTGAGCACAATTTGGCTGAGTAGTTTGGAAGGGAAAGATGAAGTAACATGAGGATCTATAGCCATTTGTCTAAATTTACATGTTATAACAGGAGTAAGTGGTAGATATCCCTACACTCTCTTTATCATCTAAATACTAAAACAATATTTTAAAACAATTGCAAATCTTTCTTTTGAGGAAAGCCTCTTAGTAGGATTTATGAATAGTTCATATATGAATTATTAAGTAATATTTAAGGCTACATTACAGCCTAGATTCAGTATAATATTGGAATTGTCCCCAGAAACTGGCAATATTATAAAACATTTTGCAGTACAGCCAGGATTGTGCTCCATCTCCTCAATTTCTTAGCTGAATTAAACTTATTTTCTTTGAAGGCCATGTGATGGTGTGAGGGCAGAATTATGTATTGTAAGGCACACTCTGTTTCCTTTGTAATGTTAATATAGGTATGGCATGTATGTGAAAAAATAAGTGGCTGAGGAGAAGCTTAATACATGCCAGCCCTTGGATTTCACCTGCAAATAGAATTCTGTCTATTGGGATTTTTCTTTGTTTTACTGTGGTTTTTTTCCCCTCCAGTCAGAGAAAGCGCAGCTGCTGAGAAAAAGAGGGACATTTTGCAGGCGAGGCAAATGCCTCTTTTGAGATCAAAAGGTCCCCTGCAAATGAACCCCCTACATTCATATTTGGAAAATATATCTTAGTCTAATATGCAATTTTATTCAAAGAACACAATCTTAACAGCATTTCCTCAAAAGTAAGAAGCAAAATTAGGTAAGTCTTCAATCATACAATATCCAGGAGACCCATGCATTCACTTTTAAAAAGCTAATCATGACATTTCTAATTGTATGATTGGCCTCCTATCCAGTTTGGCCCAAAGACTCACAGAATTCAGTAGGAATTATTTTTGAATAAGTACACAGGGTTGCATTGTATATTCATTGCCAGACTTATACAAGAACTTTATAGCAGCCACTTTCAAAAAAATCACAGAAAAGGATGAAACTGAATAGATTAGCAGCCTACTCTATAGATAAATATAAAAACACTTTTGAGTTGAGCTCAGTTCCTAATAAATATTTGGACACATCCATGTCATTTTTGGCAACATTACTGAAGTAATTTGTGAATACCTTCTGAGATTTTTTTAAACTTCCCAGTATAACAATAGCACTCAAATTCCTTAGTGATTTCCCATCCAAATACTAACTAGACCCAAATTACCTTAGTCTTAAGTACACAAGGAGATGGGTAACCTTCTCTCCTGATCATGTATCTCCTGAAAATTATCCTCCCAATGCCCAGTAAGATCCAGGTGATTGTTGACATTCCTAACCAAGCACCTAGAATGTATTCATTTACTTAAATGTATAAGAATCCCAAAGGTAAATAAAATTGGAGAGTAATTTAGACAGAGCAAAGGCCTATATCAAAAGTGTTAATTGTATGTACACATGTACTTTCTGAATTTGATGGTCAGCATTTTGAACTTTGAAATATTGGTGAGGTTTCTTTCCCTTACAGTATACTCATTTGCCTGTAATGTAATAATTGGGATTTTCAACCCAAACAGAAAAAAATGGCTAGAGGAGAAGGCCAATTCAGCTGTAAAATTCATTTGTTCTTAATGAAAAAAATCAGATAACAAAGTGTTAAAAACAGAAGAACGTCCAAGGTGTTTTTCTGTTGTTAGCTGAAAGGTAATCAGTGGGTAGGAACATATAACCATCCTTGTCTGGCCTTAGTAGAATGGTTTGGCCAGGTTAGTACTTAATGGGGGACTCCAGAAATAGATCCATGCTGTGGCCATGAAAACACTTCAATACATCCAACTTGGAATTAAACTCAGTGGAATTTACTTTTTAATTTATAAGAGAAAAAAAGGGCAGTGAAAATAAGAGGGAAAATCAAATTTTAAACTGTGTATCATTTTAAAGTGTAAAAAAACAAGCCCAGTGGTCATTCACAAAGCATTTATAAGGATCCTCTCACTGCTGAGTTAATTAACACCTACAGTGGGATTAAAAATAAGTCTCTAGGTTGAAGCCTCAAATAATAGAACTAAACTTTTTGTCAAGTTATAATTCAGCTTTTCTCCAATTTGAGTTTCTTTTTAATGATGGATTAAAGTAGAATGTCACAGGAAGGTTGAAATTTTCTCCTGCTTGCCTCTGAGTATTGCCTCTCTGATGTTAATTTAGTGACCATTTATTCCTTTGCATAGGGATTGACCTATCTGCACTATATAATATTAGCTCACTCTGATGTAACTTCCTTGTCATGTAAACATACAGTGAACATGAATGATATATTTCACCACATACTTTGCATGCAAAAGATCATAAAATATATTTATAGTTTTAAAATACCAGATATAAAGACTAGCTCTTGCCAGTTAGAACTGAAATTACTCAGTATGGCAATTCATGACAAAGTATCTTGTTCCTGAAGCCACTTCACAAGAAGCCAGATGCAGGTTCATGAGAGTTGCTGTCAGGCATCATTTCCAACCAAGATCTGTTTCCATGGTTAGGAATCATTTCCTATTTTGCTGTCTGATATTCTTTCCTAACAGGATGAGATCAGATTATTTAATTCTTCCTATAATTTGTTTGAATATCTTAGAAATGCAATTCCTTCTATAGGAAACATTAGCTTTCTTTTTTCATGATCACCAACACCATTCCTAACCTTGTATTTTCTGTCTCTCTCACATCTCTTGAAAGCACTATGGTAATACTTTCTGCAAGGATTGCACTTTGCTTGAAATCAGCCATATGGAAAATTCACTCTGGGTACCAAATGTTAAAAAAAAAAAAAAAAATTAAGATACTGCATCCCATTATTTGGCATTTAGAAGGCATCTAGCATGATCTGAGCAGCTACATCTCTCTCTGCATGTAAGCTCAGCTTCACTTGCTTAAATGCAATTTCCTCAGTTGCAGCATGCATATCTGTACCCCTGAATGTCTAAAATACAGTGTGACCCTTGACAAATCAAGGATACAACTTGCCAAATTGACTCATATTCTTCTCAGGAACTATGGAGGAATATTTAGATGAATCACTGATAACTTCTATGATTAGATTAATCTAAGATAACATCATAAAAGTTGTGCACCAAAAAAAAAGATGCTCTCCAGGCAAAGAAAAAAAGGCTGAAATGTGAAACACTTAATAACAGCATGGAGTTTATGTTTGTTGCTTCCAAATAGCTTTTTTTCTGCATAATATTAAAGAGCCAGCTGTGAAAGGAAACCTTTTGCAAAAGAAAAAGATAACAAGTTCAACTTCAAAATCTCCCATTCTCTCCTTTGCCCCCTTAGTCTCTCCAACTGCATTTATAGATTGTTACTCACATCTGTGCTCTGTGATCCCTGGAGGCTGCAGTCCTTTATAAGTGGGAAGTAAATCCAAAAGGGATGCAGATTGTATGTTGGTAAGAGGAAAAGTAACAGAAAAGAATTCTCCAGCTGCATAAATCCAGCCCTTAACAATGTTTCGTTTTGTAACAGGAACTGGAACTGGAACTGGAATACAGTCATATGCAAAGGAATTCCCATCGACTGAGGTGACCTGTATTTTCTCAATGCCTAGGCTAGAATCAACTAAAGAAGAGGGAGTGAGCAAAGGAGCAGGCGAGAAAGAACACACTGAATTACAAGAGCCAGAATAAGCCTTTTATGGCTCCCATGCATGCACAGGAAGTTTTCCAGCAGGCTCTTGCGTGGCAAATTGCAGAGAGGAGGGGTGCTCCATTTGGAATGCAAGACAGGGTTGGGTGAAAATGGAAGAAATGCTGATGAAAAAATTAGAAGGAGCTTCCAAAATATAAGAAGCTCTGTTCAGCCTTAGAATAAATGTGTATAAACCCAGTTCTAAAAATAGTAGCAGCTTAAACCAATTACTTGTATACAACTCAATCAGTTTGCAAGATTTAAATTGTATTATACTTGAGGTATTCTGCAATTATTTTACCAACTGTACATTCAAATTACATAGAACTTTTATGTTATGTACCACAGGTATTTTAGCACCCAAAACATACTTTAGTGGAACACAACATCTATAACATGAGATCTAAGACGCAGTCATATCTCCTAGCAAATGATCTTCCATTTCAGTCCATAGTTCTTTATCTGGTGATGATAATCAGTGCTCACCAAGAAGCCACCAAAATGCTCTTTTCATGTTACTTTGCAGGGTCACCAGAGATGCTTAGCTCACCTGAGGCTCCCTTAGTAGTACAATTCATCCTCTCTTCCTTCTCCTTCACACTGTGCTAAGCAGTACAAAACCAGTAGATGGGATTAAAAGGCTATGGATCAAGGTGAGAGGCTTTCTCTCAAAATCTCATTAGGCCTACTGCATTGCCCAACCTACGTTCTCCATCTTTTTTCTTAGTTTGTGATTTTTTGGTCCTTGAAAAAGTATGCGAAAAGTTGCAGCCTGGGGACTGCCTGGCTCTCTTTCATTTCTTTCATATTACAAGAGGAGTGGCTCTTGTACAACTCTGAGCAACCCAGCAAGCCTCTCAGACAATAGTGAAGTCTTATCACAAAGCCTGGGTTCTTCATTGCCAAGATGGAACAAACTATAGGTTCTTAGTCTTTTTCGTAAAATTAGATGTAGAGCAAGTTATATATAACCAAGCTAGAAGAGCTATATTTGGTGCTGTGTCATTAATAAGCATTATTTTCTCCATCATAAATAACATTATAAAAAAACTGAAATGTATGGAGGCACTATTCAAAATATATTCCTGAAGACAACTAGTCCAGTAGGCAGCCTCACACATTGATGTGCACATATGCATTGATAAAAGATAGAATTATCTTTTGTGCTATGCTATATATTCATCCTGTAGCAATTTTCATGTAAAGTTTTTAAAAATCAAACTTGAACATAAAATCTCTATATAAGATCCATAGTTGTAATGGATGGGACATCTGGTAATTAGTCTTCCTTGCCAGGCATTAATGCTCTTCTATTGCATTTTTTTTAGCCTGTTGGTAACTGAAATATTTAGGCTTCATCCTATACGGGCAGTCCTCACTTAACAACCATTCATTCCATGACTGTTCAAAATTATGTGGTACTGAAAAAAGAGACTTAAAACTGATCCTCGAAGTTGTGGCCAACACAGCATCCCTGAGGTCATGTGATCGCAATTCGGGCACTTGGCATTTACAACAGTCATAGTATCCCACAGTCACATGATCACCATTTGTGACCTTCCCAGCTGGCTTCCAACAAGCAAAGTCAATGGGGAAGCTGGCAGGAGATTGCAAGTTGCGGTCACGTGACATCACACATAACAACCCGCAGCGATTAATTTAATGATTGTAACCAGAATTGCCAGAACTGCTATCATACGTCAGCACAGTGATGTGATTTTCTGCTTTTCAACTGTGTCACTTAGCAACAGAGTTGCCAGTCCCAATTAGGGACATTAAGTGAGGACTACCTGTATACATGTTCTCCACTGTATATAAGTTATCCACTCAATACAATTAGTAGAACCTACTTCTAAGTAAACTTAAAACATGCACAGAATTATGCATATAAATGAGATCTAGGGACTTATGGCCCTCCAGATGTTGCTAAATTACAATTCCCAGAATTACTATTACCCACATTGTCTAGGACTGCGGCAAATTCTTATTCTGGGCACAAATACCCTTTTGAAGTTCTTCACCAAATCTGTGGGTTGAGAAAACAGGTTGAACATTTCTTCAAATTTCTCCAGGTGACTCCCCTTTATTGGTGACACATCTACTGCTACTGGGCAGCCCAGTGGGGGGAGTTCCATTCTGGAGCTTTTTCATAAGGATTTAGGTTAAACATGGAAGCCTGGGTGGCTACATATCACTGGCGAGATGATTGTATAAGGAACAATATACACACACTGGTCACACTGTAAGTAAATAATGCAAATACCATGCATGACACTCTACCCACAAGAATTAAGAATTTTGTTTACTTTCTCGTCCTCTGCAATAATTTGTAAAGCTGTTTTTTAAAAAATCAAATTGAATGGGAATTCGTTGAAAAAAATAAGAGACTTTTTTTTGTCTGCCATTAATCTGAGGAATCAGAGGCTCTTGTACTATAAATATAGTAAATCCTCAATTGACTAGTCAGGGGAAAGAGTGTCCAGTAATGCCAAACGTACATTCAATTGCAAATTGGACTTTTTTTAGCTGCAAAACATACTCACACATGAAAAAAATACCTTACCTTTAGCTATCTGTTGTGGACAGGCCTGGGTTCCCGTGATGATGATATTGGACAACCTATTAATTTGAAGAAAGTATCCAGTTTTAGCTAACTCTTCACTTTAAAACATGAAGCATATGCAGAAGCATGTCCATATTTTAGGAGAAGCAACAAATGTTGTTTGACTGCCTCACCAAACCTTGTCTAGGGCAAAAACTGCTATTGCCTGAAATTCAGATTTTATCTATTACATCTAAAATCTGTGGAATCCAGGTTGATAAAATAAAGGGTTTACTTTATGAGTAATTGGTCTCATATATGGGAGTATGTTATCACAATAGTTGAATAGTTCTTCCTTTTTTGAAAAAAAGAAAAGTAGTCTTTAATAGTGATATGCTTGGTTAGTGCTTTTCATTAAGCATTTTGATAGATACAGATTACCTGTGTTTGCGTCACTGGGAGAAACAGTTTTATGATAGCTGAATCTGATTAATTGAGAGAGAACACCCAGGAGCCCCCTGTGTTAAGATTTTTAAAAAGCAGACATGTATTTGCTATACTCTTACCTCCACTTTTGGGGTCAGCATAAGTCTCTCTCCCCCAGTGTGTCAATCATGTCCTTCTCCCCAATGGTAGACTACAGGTAGGAATCGCCAAGTACCAGTAAGAAGAATCCAAATAAAAATGTATGCACAACAAGTGATTGATTTCATGGGACTTATTTCAGTTGTTCACACAGCAGTCAGCTGATGAAAGTTAATGGGAAAATGATGAATTATATTTTGCAAAAAATATTCAGCGCATTATGTGCAATCAACTTTCTCAATACCTGTTATTATTCGTAAGCTATTCAGCATGAGTGTGAATAGTTTCCATGGCAATTTTATCATTGATATTTGAGAAGTCAAGAAAATGCTGTCTCAGATTTTAATTTTCCCTGTTGCAGCTGTTCAGTCAGTAACAGTGAGGTCAGCAATCTGGGCAACTCAGGGAGAGGCATTTGAGGACCATGCTGGCTGGGGAATTCTGGGAGTTGAAGTCCACATATCTTAAAGTTGCAAAGGTTGAGGAACACTGCTCTAAAGGTTATCATTAGATACTTTAGAACATAACTGGAGTTTTAGAGAAGATGATTCCTCTTTTATATCAATGTTATTGTTTGCCTAAACTCCACTTGGTCTAAATGGCTAGTAGCAGGATATCTATCTAGCTATTGGTATGTTTTTGTAAAAATATATTAATTTTATCATATGATAAAATATGTATTGCATCACTATGTAAGAACAGCTTTCCTCAAACTCCCTAAAGTTGTATTTTAAAAAGGCCAATGTGCCAGTCATTGGTGACTGAACTAAGGTTTCACAGTATAAAGCTGAGAAGAAATGTTACGCTTTAATTTTGATATCAAAAATTATCTGTTCAAAAGCGGAATCTATGTGTGCAAAAAACAGAACTGATTTGTTCATTTCCTAAGTTACAAATATAAAACATCGCTGCACAAAAAGTGCTACACCAGATCGTGGGAAATTTCCGCTTAGTTAGTCAAGGTGAAGAAATTTCCTTGAGGGAGGTCCATAAACATTAACTCAGGGAGGCAAGTAGCTGTTTGGGGGGCTGGCAAGACTCCTTGCACACAGGATTTTGGGTCTAAGACTGGAACTAAAATTAGCAGTAACAGTTTTGAACAGGTGAAGAAAATGCACTGAGAAATGTAAGTTTTTTATTTATAACAATGCTACTGAAATAATTTTGGCTCAGCCACCCAAATAGCAGTCTAATCACATAGTAGTCACTTTAAAATATGCCATATGATAGCTTGAAGCACATGGAGACTTTGGCCACCAAATACATTTAAGGTTAGCACATTTACTCTAGCTTACCCCAGGACTTTTGCATATCCACATATTAACTTTCCATGAGATTTTAGGATAATGCTGGACTTACAATGCAGTCAAAGACATAAACAATTCTGTGCAGTTGTAGTCTATGATAAGGGCAAGGATTTTTTTTAAAGGTGAGAGTACAAATTTAACTGATTTTTTTTCCCACCCAGAATAGCTTATTTGGAAAGTCTTTTGCAGTATTTAAAACAGCTCTGATTTTGATAGCAAAGCAAAACATCAAAAATGTATAGATCAGTAGAGCATATCAGGACAAATTTCCATCCCCAAAGAGGCATTTTAACTTCCTAACTATCCACAAGGAAATATTAATTTACATATATATAGAATGTTTAAGAACTGAACCAAACTAAGTTAAAATGCTAATTAAAGCTGCATTTGCCCTTTACATTATGAAATAGAAAACACAATAGAGCTTATGTGTTCTTAGGCTGCAGTTCTACAGAGGCTTATTCAGGTATATCGATGCAAAGCCTTGCAAAGCCCTG